GGTTAATTTTTCTCACGGTGTGTGAAAGGGTGGTGTTCACACATGGATGTGCATGAGCCTGAAACCCCGCGGATCTTCAGTGGGTGGAATCGGGGCGGAAATTCAACATGGCAGGCAATTCTACAAGAGATTCTGCTGCATATTAAAAACAGATGCTACACAACAAATGTGGGCTCAGGGCTGCAGGATTTAACATGATGCTAGTTTACACACATTGGCTGTGGTCGAGTTGAAACAACTTTATTTCGTCCATTTTAGAGAGCTAACCACTTATGAAAATGGAGTTTTACTGGAAGCGCTAATAACATTCAATCACTGCCTTGGGGTTTCTGAGCTTGGCTGAAAACAATGTCAGTTGCTGCTTGTGAGATTTATTTATTTATTTTCAGCATTTTTACATTAGCGGTCTGAATTTATACAAGGTGCATAGGGATCTTGATTTTAAAAAAGCGCTGTTTTGGCTTGGTTACTGTTGTCATGTTGAACGTCATGAGGAAGACAGCACCTGTTTTAAGTCAGTTTTCCCATGACTATAGGTGTTAAATTATCTACCGAGGCTTAGGCATTGTTCATTGGATATTGTTTAACTCTAATGCATTGATTTTATAAGGATTAAATTATTTTCTAATTTAAGGGGAAAATTAAGTGCAAAATTCTGGAACAAGCGATATTTTTGGACAGATTGTTGAATAAATTTTGCTGCAAATTGTTCCAATATTTAGTCAATATTTAGTGTCATTTTAGCCCAATAAACTCTAATCTATAATGGATTTATTTTTTACTACATTTGTGAGACACTGGACTGTCAATGATCGGATGGTAATCAAATCTACATGTAATAAAGTTTGAAATGTTTCAATTTGTAACGAATTGATATAAATTAGACTTTATTAACCGAGCAGCACTTTAACCTGTCTTATCTTCTAATTTAAGTGCAAAATTCCGGAACAAGCAATATTTTTGGTAAGATTGTTGAATACATTTGGCTGCAAACTGTTCCAATATTTAGTCTTGGGTAGAAAAGCGTTATTTTAGCCCAATAAACTCTAATTTATAATCTAGGATGTGTTTTAAAATGCCTGCCTATGCTTTTTATTCTCCAACATACACAATTTGATCATTGACTAAAATGGCCTGATATGTTTATTTAATTTAAAATCCCCTGGCAGGTTTATTTACTGCACAATTCTGAAACTAAAATACAAATACAGCTCAAATATCCCTGGTATGCTAGTTTTACCTTAATCTAATGCTGCATTGGGTAGATGGGGCCCTATGAAATATGTTTAATTTCTTCCCAAATTCTTTTCTGTTTTTCCCCCAAATTCCTCTTTTTTCATTTTAATCATTCTGTTTTACACTTTTTTTCCCCTCAATTTCATATTTTCATTCCAACTATATCCATTAACCCTTTAGTTTGGATTAGGAAAACTACAGATTATTGCCAATAATCCATGAATAATTACTAACGATATTGTTCTCCTTACAAAAATGTTTTGCCAAAAATCGCATGACTGAAAAAAATATATTGCAATAGTATAAGACATGCAAAGACCCGGTCCGCTGACGGGTTTGCAGGCATGTGTGGCTCGCGCTAGCTTTCTTTTCTCTGTTTTTGATGCNCTTTCATATTTTCATTCCAACTATATCCATTAACCCTTTAGTTCGGATTAGGACAACTACAGATTATCGCCAATAATCCATGAATAATTACTAACCATATTGTTCTCCTTACAAAAATATATATTGCAATAGTATAAGACATGCAAAGACTTTTACATAAAAAAAATAACTTCTTTCATTGTGGTGTGTGTGGTGTCAGCCTTGGTATGCTGATCGACCACCCAGGGTAGCACCCTCTTGGTTGCAGTACTTTATCAAAAATAGACGAAGCTTTCTTATTTTTTTTCCTCATGGAATTTCAGATTCCTCACACATGACAACAAAATCTTCAATAAACTCTTGAAGTGCTTCCGCTGACGGGTTTGCAGGCATGTGTGGCTCGCGCTAGCTTTCTTTTCTCTGTTTTTGATGCGAGTCCTTGACTTCAAGTGGTCTTCACGTGTTCTTATCCTTCCAGTCGACCGTGTGCAACCGTGACAAAACTCCCAGATAAGTTGCTCTTCAGATTCATAAAAGTCACAGGGATATTGTTCTGTCCTACACTTTGCAGCAAGTATAACATTTTTTTAATTTTCTGGATGACTTCGGTGCTTCTGCAACATGGCCGACCTACTTTTTCTTTTCGGTTGTGGAAACAAGTGCCCGCCCCGCATGACCATATACGGGAGCAGGCAGAGCACAAAAGACTTTATATACATACTACTCTTTGCAAAAAAAGAGTGAATTACGTGTTCTCTAATGCATTCTATTTGATTTGCTAAATTCCGTGATTCCATCCGCGTTTTTCCGGTTCACAGAAATCATAGGGCGCTAGGTAGATGCTTTATCTCCACCGATGATCCACACACCTCGGCATGCTGAGTGCTTAAAATTACCCCTTGTTTACTTTCTGAATAGATCGGCTCTTTTTTTTTTTTTCTTTTTTTTTGTTTATGTTTTGCCAAATTAGGGGAACTCGTTAAGCACTGAACCTTCATAACTTTCTATATTTAGATGCAGGTAAATGCTTGTTTACTCTTTTTTTTTTATTTTTTTTTTATTTTTTTTTTTTTTTTTTATGCGTCTCATCAGAGGTGACAGAGCTGGAAACTGAACAAAAGTATTTAAATGATTAGAGCTTTAAGACATGTTTTCTGATATGCAATCAAGCGTTCTATGAAAAAGCAGTCTGACATGAGCTGAAGATTGAACTGAAATGAAGAGTGCACATGCTTTATTGTTTGGGGGGAGTGAATGAAGGAGGGATTTCACAGTGGGTTTGGAGTGTTGAAAGAAAAAGGTTTTCAGGAAAGCTGCCAAGCCGCCTAATTTACTGCAGAGATAATCTGGTCTGACTGAAATGGAGCTCCTTCTAGAAGGTTATTGTTTTCTTATCATAACCAGTTCATTTCCTTTTTTTATTAGAGATTTATTTATTTATTTTTTGTTTCAGGCACATGACTTGATTTTAATGACCAGCTTTTTAAAATGCAATTTAAGGATTCTGATATGGCAAATGGGATCTGCATGATTGGCCTTCATTTTGATAAAAGATCGAACATTAAATACTCGAACAGATTGTCCAGATCTTGCCTGATTATAGTGTTGTAGCTAAAACTCCTCACAAAACCTTTCTGTTGAATTGGCTCCTGATGTGTCTCTATTTTGTGGTGATTTGCACTCTGTTGTACTGTCCCTTATGCTGAATCTATAGAGATAAGCAAAGGGAATCTGATGTTTTTATTCCAGAGGAGTATTTTATGTTGCAGGGTTTCTGCAATAGGAAATAACCTTTTACCTAAACAGTTTGTCTTGCATTAGAAGTTACATTTAATGTTGCAAAACTCAGTCCAGCAGCAAGCCTTGCAAATGAGTAATACTGCCTCCTGCTGGACACCAATCATTCAATAAAGTTTGTTTTTCCAGAACTTGCATACACCCAGAATACTTTAATAATGAGATTAAAACAGATAAATTACTCACAAATATCTTGCAAAGGTAAATGATCCATTTAAGGCTTTTATTTAGTGTAATTATGATGGAATAGAATATAAATATGATGGATTTTATAGTTTTATAACAGAGACCCTCTGGTCACACAGAAATCACCTTAATGGTTTAAAACATCTGCAAATGTTCTCTGGCATCTAAACGCTCTGTCAGACTGGATCAGTAGGTGGTCCAAACATGGAGGAGACTGCTGACTGGACTGGTGTACAGAAGACATCATCACTGACACACTGGACAAGGGAGAGAAGCCAGTAAAGACCATTGCTAAAGACGCTGCTTGTTCAGAATGCTGCACCCAGATGTAATCTTTAAAAGACAAGTGGAAGAAATGAGTTTGGTAGGAAATTTGCTGCATCTTCAAGGACAACAAAGCCTTGATAGAATCAAACAAAATGGACATCTTGGTAAAATTCAAACTTTCAAAGGAAGTTATCAGAGCAACCTGGGCTTCCATCAGAGCTGCAGCTTGATCATCTTCATGCCATGTATTGAATGCATTAAAGGAACATACTTTTTGGAAACAGGACTTTTCAATTTCATTCATTTTAATTTTTAACTACATTTTAAGAGACTTTAGACTTAAGAGTTTCCATGATATGATGGTAATCAAATCTACCAGTAATAAAGTTTTTAAATGTTTCACCGAGCAGCACTTTAACTCATCTTATGTTCTAATTTGAGAGGTAAACCTGTCCAGAGGCTGTTAAAATACCAGCCTCTTGACAAACTTGACCAAATACATTTAAAGTTAATGTGTACTTTTCAAATTGAACTGCACTTGATTTAAATTGGTATTTCAGAAACATGTGTCCCTCATCTGTAACACATAAACAGATTTATTTCTCTGCTGCATTTGTATTTGGAAAACAGTACCTCACTCTCTCACAATCTCTCTGGAAAGTTTTAACAGTTTACTTAATCATTAGTGACCTCGATAAACTATTCAGTGTACCATTTATTAATTAGTATATATTTTTTTTACCTTTTTTTCTTGCTGTTTGACATTTTTGTTTGTGTAGCAGTAAAAACTAAGGCAAAACAAAATGCAGAGGGATTTCATAGAAAGTTATTTAGTTTGTGGATTGAGGAAAATGTTAATATGCTGCTGTTTGTCACATATTTCATTTTATTTTCTTATGACATTGGAGATGAAATATGTTTAGCGAGCTTATATTGGTTTAAACAGATTGAAGAGTGAAGGCGGTTTCCTAACTCTTCTAGTCCTTTTAGTATATTTAGAAGAATGTTGCATAAAAAGGCTTGTGAGTCACTGTTGCATTTGTTTACATTTTAGAATTTGTTCCTAGGAAAACATCCAAGCATCTTTCAAGTAATGTTAAACCTTGTTTTTTTTTCTTAGAGTTCTCTGCTTTCTTTCTGTAATGCAGTTCTGGCAGTTTGGAGAATGGGTGGAGGTGGTGATCGACGACCGTCTACCAGTGAAAGACGGGAAGTTGCTGTTTGTCCATTCTGCAGAGGGGACAGAGTTCTGGAGCGCTCTCCTGGAAAAGGCCTACGCCAAGTAAGCCTGTTGAACAAATCCAGATGATGTAGAATTATCTGTTATTGTTGTCTGTAGAAAATCTCCTTTCTTCTCTTTATTTTTTCCCCACCTAGCTAGTAGTAGGGATGTTCCATTCCACTTTTTTATTTCCGATTCAAACTTTGACAATTGACCGACACCAAGCATGAATCATATATACTTTTAGTACTTATTTAGTTGTGTGGAACATTAGAAAAGGTTTCATCCAGTGATTTAACCCAGAGAAAAGCAGCCATCAACAATAGATAAGGGAACAACTGGCTCTATCACACCATGACGATTTAGACCAGCGTATGCCTTAAGTACAAAAAATCTGGCAAAAACGCTGGCATATGTTGGATAAGTCATGGGTCAGTTTTGTATAATTTACGAGCACCCTGTACACATCAACATACGAAGAAAATTAAGAAATTTTGAGCGCAATCAAAATTTCTTAATTTTCCCAACGTATGCCGGGCGATGCTCATTAGTTACATACATTAAGTGTAAGATACTCATAAGTTGTGGCATCTAGCTTATCCAAAACCTATGAATAACGTGCATAACTTACCAAGAACTTATCTCCAATGCATATCAACGTATTTGAAGTGTTCCAGACGACCACTGAACGTGTTTCTAACTTACAGCTACTGTTTAATGGCAAATTGGAAGCGTTTTGGTTAAAAAGTGAATTCCCAGGAGGAAACTGTTAGTTCTTTTCCAGATATCCCCCATCATAGGGTGAGCGAGAAGATGAGTGTGATGCAACCACAACCCCTTTATTTCTCTTTTTTTTTTTTTTTTTGTTTCTTTATAATGCGATCAAATCGATCTTTTTATGCAGACCGGGCGCCTCTGGGCACATCATTGTTCCCCCCTGAGGGCATTGGCTTGTGACATTTCATGGGCATTAAGCTGCTGTGCGTTCTACGTAGGTCAGGCTGTTGTTAGACATACGCTCTGGACTCATTATGAATACTCCATGTATACGCCCAAAATTAATAAAAAATACATAGACAGTTCATTGTATGCCAGCGTTTTAGAAGATTCTGGGACATCAGGTATACGCTGGCTCAATCATCAAGGTGTGACAGGGGCTTCAGCACACTTGTATAAGAGATTTTACACAGAGGGCCAATATAATCCAACATTAGTTTATTTTCACCTGATATCGGACTCAATCTGATATCGATATCAGATTGAGCATCTCTATGAAATGGGTTGGATCCCCATTACCTTCAGGGTAGACCTTTATGGCATACATTGTAAGAGGTGTTGGATGCTTTGCACCAAGTGTTTTGTCCATATTGAAGGTACCGGGTCAAGACTTGTTGAGTTTTGTAACATTTTGCTAATCTATTAAACTGACAACAAAATCTGCACCATTTGTACAAAATGTAATGGATTTTTGCACTTTGGTTGTTTGGGTCCAGTTCTGACCCCTATCTCTAAATAATGCTCCTGTAATCTAAATTCAATGGACAAGGCAATGTTCATTTAATCTTTTGCTGTCCAATTTAGATCAGTCTGTGTGAAATGTTGCCTCAGTGTTCTGTTCTGGGCCGATGGGAGTGGTACCGGGTGCGGTCTTCTACCGCTGTAGTTCATCCGCTTCAAGGTTCAACACGTCATACATATTCAACACGCCTTTGTTGAGACAAGTGATTTTGGAAAATTACACCTTTCTAGAACCAGTTTGTTCAACAACAAGCCATCTTTATGCACATAATGAACGCTCTGAATCTGCTGTTACCGGGGGCCGTTCTCAGTAAATCCTAAATATTGTTTTGCTTTAAAATTTCAGTAGATTAGCGAGATCTAAAATATTCAGACTAGCTGCATTCTTAGACTTGGACAGATTTATTCGTCATTTGGTCTACACAAGTGTAAAACAAAAAGAAATTTCATTTGGAACAGCTCTCTGGACAATTTCATTTTTAAAATGAAGCAATGAAAAATAGTTTTAAAAAAAATTCAATGCATTCAATGTCTTATTCCCTTCTTCTAGGTCTACCTTATTAATACACTTGAGTGCCTTGAGTTCTCATCTACGTTATTGAATAAGTTGGTATTTGTGAAAAGAACAACTGAACAGGTGTACCTAGTGAAGTAGCCTGTATTTCTATTTTGCACCAGATAAAGCAGCAACTAATCTTTTTGCTGGTATGAGCAATTTTATGCCGTGAGAAACGGAAATAAAATATCTACTACTAAGGTTACAGTTTACTGTTTGCAACCTTGGAGAGATTATTTAAGATAATTTAAAGATCTTGGGCTTTTCTTTACTCAATACATGCAGCTACATACAACTCATAAGTGGAAAAAAAAGACCAGACCTTGAATTGTTCTACTTAAAAAAAGAAAACAAAAAGTATAGAAAAAACTGAATTGACTGACTGGGGAATTTAACAGCTCTAGTAGGACACCTAGTGGTTACCAACTATAATAACTTGTCAACGTTGAGTTGTGATGGCTCAGTCATTTTACCATTTGTTTGACAGGCTGTCAAACTTTAAACTGTTTTCTTTTTCTGGCTGAATTTGCGGTGTTTAAGAATTGATTGCTAGATTTTCAAAGTAAAAGATGCCTACAAATTTTTTCCCCCCTTAAGAATAAAGTCACTCAGATTTTCTTAATATCACAAATCTAAGAATCATTTACAAAATCTTCTTCCTACATTCAAATCTCAACCATGAAGTTGAAGTCTTGGATATACAAATGTAAAATTCCTTTAGGGATCATGTTTGAAATATTTGAAGCATTCTGCAGGGGTTGGATAAATGAGAGCTGCAGCTGCTGCTGCAGTAAACAGCTGTGATGTCAGTTGTACTATTGAAATACAGCATTGTTCATATAATGGCTACCAAGGCTAGGGTTTCCCCTTATAAATGTTATGTAAGCACCATCAGTTACATGTTCATATATGGTACTTTGCTAAACGTTGAGTGCTACAACTATAGTTGATGTTAAAGCTTTAACATTAATCACACGCTGTACAGTACACTGTTTGTAATGCTATGAACCCTCGTCTCCTTGGAAACCCACTCATGTCCCGGACCTGTTCTCTTCAGATTAAATGGCTGTTATGAGGCGCTGTCAGGTGGGAGCACGTCAGAGGGCTTTGAGGACTTCACCGGTGGAGTGACGGAGATGTTTGAGCTGAGAAAAGCGCCTTCGGACCTCTACAGCATCATCAGCCGAGCCATTGAGAGAGGATCCCTGCTTGGCTGCTCAATTGATGTCAGTACTGGTCATTCATTTATCTGCAAATGCAAAAATGTACTAAAGTTTGATCACATCATTTAGAAAGTGCCTCATTTATTGATTTCTTTTTTTTTTTTCATTAAATGTTATGAAAATGCAGTTCATTTCTTGCAGATGCAGTTGTATTGATCCTAACCAGGAAGTCTTATTTAGATTAAAGCCTCTTTCACAAAGAAGGAATTGAAACCATGCATATGACCATAAACCAATATGAAGTATCTATCAATGAGTCTAGATTAAAGCCTTAAGAATAACATTCAAACTGAGTGAAAACTTATCTGGAACCAGGCTCAGTGTGAGCGGCCATCTGCTGAGGCCAACTGGGGTTCAAGGAGACGGAAGCAGAGATGCAAAATGCAGCTGGAAAAGGCGGCCCCGTCCAGGAAACACACAGCCAGGCAGACGAGCTCCGAGCCAGCTCCCATGTCAGAGGAGGAAGAGAGCACATCCAGTCAGTCACGATCGTTCTCCATGCTGCAGCCCTTCTAACAGCATTAGCTGTTGGCCTGCACCAAAACAAAATAAAAAACTACCTCTTTTTATTTCAACATGCTCTCTACCCTTTCAAGAAAAAAGCCACAGTTTGGACAAGATCAGTCTTCGACAACAACAAAAAAAAAAGATGAATTAGTCACTCCTCTGGACCAAAATCCTTCATGAGATTTGTTTTGAACTGGTGTTTATTATTAATACAAATACTGCTGTACTCCTCTATGAGAGATCATTCTTCAAATAAATCAAAAGCTATAACAAGTAATTTCAGAGCGATCAGATGCTAAAGTAGTTAACAAATTTTAGTTAAAACCACAAGAGGGCAGAGACGCGTTCAAAATGGAGGTAGGGAGGAATTCTGTGCATTTAAGGCTTTTGATCAGGACCTTTATTTGCAGACAGGGAGCATTGACCTTCCCAGTGAAGGACACACTATCTGCTCAGTTTGTCTTCCGGTACTTTTTTGTTTGGGTATGACGGGTTAGCCGTCTGGCAGAAAAAGGAAAGGTTGAACTTTTCTCACACATGATGAAATGTTGAATCACTGATCTCAATGTTCTTTTGCACAATAGCAATGCTAAAAGGGCATCACAGCAGTTCTTCACATGTATAAAGATCTAAAAATGTATGGATATGTATGATCTAGTTTTTGTTTCTATTTACTCCAGTGCTAAAGCAAAACTTGATATGGTGTCTGTCTGCATCTTGCATCACATGCACTGCTGGGTAATTTAACCAAACATTAACAGATTTCCTCGCTCTAGATAATGTGTCAGTAGTGATACATGGACCATGTCAGCGACCTTTCAAAATCCATGCATTGCATTGTCTCCTCCACAGATCACCAGTGCATTAGACATGGAGGCCGTCACATTTAAGAAGCTGGTGAAAGGCCACGCCTACTCGGTGACTGCTGTGGAAGAGGTGAGCATGACGGTTTGGAAACAAACACAAATGCAGTGATTGTTTGTTTTTCTTACGAAAATGCATGAACTTTACCTGCAAAATAGAGCAAGTTATGAAAGCTATGAAAGAGTGATACAATCTAATTTTTCCTCTTACTTTGTCCCTACATGAAGAGCATGTGCATTCAGATCACTATGCAGTCCGTTACTTCCTGTTTCATGCAGGTTTAGTCAGCTTTGTGGCTTTAAAGCAGCTGTTGGTTTTAGGAGCATGCGCTCCAGATGTGGTTAGCGTTTTGCATTAGGAACATGAACCGTTTCTTTTCCTGAAGGTGGTGTACAGAGGAAATCTGACCAAGCTGGTTCGCATCAGAAACCCCTGGGGGGAGGTGGAATGGACCGGGCCCTGGAGTGATGAGTAAGGTTTTCCACAGACAGGGGGGTCATCTTTTTGTTTTTTGTTTTTTTCGTTTTTTGTCGCTAACATGGTTTTGAAGTCTGCAGGGAATTAATTTTCTATACAAAGCATGTTTGATATTTATTCACTCTGAATTTTAACCACTGAAGTTATCCCCCACAATGCTGCTTTAATAGTAGATGTGTAGTTTTAGGTGAATATACAGTATTCTTATGAAAATAAAGACCATGTTCTCATCCATTTTTAAGGATCCTGGGAGGAATAAGCATCTTTTTTTTCATTTTTTAAATCCCGAGGCCACAGGAAGTGATGGACTTTTTGTTAAAAGTTCACAAAATCTCTGATCCTCTTAAAACAATCCAAACTGAAACTAATCTCTATGGCGTACCTATTGCAGAATTCTAAGTACCGTTTATTTATGCTCTCTTGTTAATGAACTCAGCTCCAGAGAGTGGGACTCCGTGGATCGCTCAGTCAGGGCTAAACTTCAGAACCGCAGTGAAGATGGGGAATTCTGGTGAGTGTGAGATCATTGCGATTTCCTGCTTTTAGATTTGATAATTAAAAATTTTTAAATAAATAAAATCAAGTCATTATAGCCAGGTCTTTTTCCATTTCCCAGGATGTCCTTCAGTGACTTTCTACGAGAGTTCACCCGTCTGGAGATCTGCAACCTGACGGCGGACGCCCTGCAGCACAGCCAGATGAAGAAATGGAACACGTCGCTCTTCGGGGGAGAGTGGAGGAGAGGCAGCACGGCCGGAGGCTGCAGGAACTACCCAGGTACTGAGCTGGAGGGATGCACCTGGAAGCAGGGGCGGAGATAGATGGGGGAGGCAACAATTTGCAAGAAATGGTTGGCCACCCCAACCATTTTGTCCCTCAAATATAGATGATGGCAGCAGTAAGACTCTCTAGTGGAATATTCAAATCATTTGAATTTTTCATATCTTAACATTTACTTGACAACAAAAACAGTGTGGTTAAATATGCA